TGCTTGGGTGGCCTTTATGGTCTCTTTGGGGTATATTCCCACTAACACTTTAGTCTGTTGACCAACATCTTTGCATTTCAGCACTCTAGAGAGCTCTCTGACAGCAGACTTTCCTAATCTAATTAGTCTTTTGATTTCCTGATTGCTGATTCCAACAATGTTGATTGTGAAGCCAAGCAAGATGAAAGTGTTGACAAACTCAATCTCTTATCCATCTATCATGGTGCTGCCAGTTGGCCCAGTGGAGAGAATTTTTGTTTTCTTGATGCTGAGCTTCAATCCATATTGAAGGCTGCAGCCTTTGCATCATCATATTCTTCTTTTATTTTAATAGAACACTTGGCAAGATATTAGAAATACAGTTTTGGAAAGGATGTGAAGGATACTCTTATGGAATATTCCATGGAGCAAGAATTGCATATTCTTTCGAGATTGTTTTTTATAGTGAAACTAAGATTTCAAGAGCCATCTTGACTTTTGTAAGCAAAATAAAAGTGAAACAATATTTTTCAGCACTGAAAAAAAAAAGGAGAAAAGAAAAAACCCAACCCCCTAAATGCAACGAGTCAGTAATACAGAAGGAATGATGTTTCAAATAGTTTTTTCAAGTTCTACGTTGGAATGAGCATGACTAATATTGTCAAATTCAGTGACCTTTTCTGTTGAGAGACATTTCTATGACATTTGGGGGGGGAAAAAAAATCAATGATTAACAGATGGTATCCACTTGCAGCCAGTTCAGAGATTCTCAACCTTGGCCAAATGACTAAAAGTTCTGTGGAACATTTAAAATACACCGATGTCAAAGACTTTTATCAGGATAATAAAATCAAAGTTGATGAATATTTTTCTTTTCCCAAAGTTTCCCAAGTAATATTATAGTAGGCAGGGCTGGACACCACCAGTCTCAGGTATAAACTGATTCTGTCTGTAGACTATTTTTTACTGGTACAATTATTGCTATGAGGACCATTAACTACTCAATTCTGAGCCTATTGAGAGACTTCTAATGGCCTGGGTTTGAATTGCCTACTCTCTAAAAAATTGTCCTTTGTTGTTGTTTTTCCCAGATCTTCTAATCTCATGTTCTCTTGTGGATAACAGCATTTTAGAAGTTATTTTTATCCAAAATATTATGATTACAATGTAGGGGAAATGGAAGACACTGAAAAGACTTGACTTGTTGTACAGAGATTGCATGTGAAGGAGATCCATTTGAAGGGCAAGGTTTAGTTTGAAGGTTGGCTGTTTGTTCCCCTAACTTTTAATATCCATTACTGTAAGTTGTCTTCCAAATTTCTTAGTTTATATGTGGAAGCCTTTCTCAATGTTATAAGCTTGTGATATAAAGCCTAGACTGGCAGTTTCTCCAAAGTAATGATACTTTTTTAGAAGGAAGCTAGAGTTTGGTTATAAAGACAATATGCTGTTGTTGTTGAGTATTGTTAAGTTGAGTAAGACTCATGGTAACCCAATTAACGACAGATCTGAATTCTGTCTTACCTTGTGCATTCCTCATGATCTTTGACACACTTGAACCCATTGCTGCAGTTACTGTGTCAATCCATCTGCCACAATCTATGTGGTTGAAAAGACCAAGTCTTACTTGGGAAGTACAATTGAAAAGACCATGGTCTGAATGAGGCATACCTTAGTCCTTGAAATAATACCATTGCTCCTCAGTAATTTGGAGAGGTCCTTGACTAAAGACTTTCACAGTGCAATATGTCTCTTGATTTCCTGTTAGTACCAAGTATATTGACAATATGTAAATATAATCAATAGGAATAATATATTTAATAGAATAGAAGTAGTGATTGGCTGACTGATTGTTTTTTCCTGTTTTATAACTAGGAAAAACTTCTGGGCATGTAAATCTTATCACTTCTTGTTAAGTGCCATCAGGTCATGTATGACTCATAGCAACCCTATGAACAGCAGATCTGAATTCTACCAGGTCCTGTGCCATCCTTACAATTTCTGCTATACTTAATCTCCTCACTGCATCCATTGCATCAACCCATCTCAGAAGGCCTTCTTCTCTTTCATTGACCTTTCCAAGCATCATGTCCCCTTCCAAGGAATAGGAACAACATGTCCAAAGTAAG